TATTATTGTGATTTATTAGTGCTTAATAAATATGTAATTAAAATACGTTACCAAATTTTTTTTTATTATAAAAGTTATGTCCATCTTTAGAAACGTTTGTGCGGCTTTAAAAAGTTATGTTTCGCTATTAAAAAAGATATGTCCCGCTTTAAGGGCAAAGCGCCGAGTCCGGCCTAGCAACCCCTCGACTCGTGGAACCACCAAATTGTAAATGATGTCGATATTGCACGATCGCAAAAATTTTGAGATTCACGGGTAATTGTTGATACCTAAATAAAATGCTGCAAAAATTAAATATATTTTGACCGGTCAAATAGGTAGCGGTCAATTGACAGTCAATTGACTGGTCAATTGACCATCCCCAACTCTACGTGTCCGAGCGTTTAGCTGTGATATTTTCACCTCCCTACAGTGTTATTGTGTTTGTGCATTAAAAAAATACTACAAAGTTCCTACAAAACATGAGTTTTAATGAGGGATTTTGTATTATTTGTCAATTTTAATTATCAATATTGTGAGAAAAAATAAAATTAATGAATTGTATAAACTAGATTTTAAAGTTATGTATTTTGTATTAAATAATTCAATTAAGAATTGAGTTATGAAATAAATTGTCTACTAAATTATTAATTGTTTAATAAAACCGCCTTTAATTTTACCATTATAACCTTGTTACTTATTTACTTTTTAGATTGTTTTTAGTTTTTAATGATACTTTAATATTTAATAAAGTAGTTATTTGTTAATTAAAATACCTATGTACATTTTATTTTTACTACATTGGAACGGCTGAATTTGCTGTTATTTATTTATTTATTTATTTATTTATAAAACTCTTTAAATGAACATACTACCTTAAAATACAGGTTTATAACCAAGAAATGCAACTTCACCCTAATACTCCATTAATATCAAATAGTGCCATAATAATCTGACAGTTATAAAATTTATTATTTTGACAGTTAAATGTTTCTGATTACGATATCACTGATCTCAAGGAAAAGTATTATCACAAAAAATCACGACAATAACTTGAAGCGAAGGATTTTTTTGATGCTTTTGTAATCATTTTTCCCTTTATTAAGTCAAAATTCTTAAAATAAACATGGGGTTTTACATTAAGTACTATCAGGGACACCAAAAAGTCCCATGCGAAAAGAGATGTGCCAGATTTTAACCTTTACTGCTTATTTGTAGGAAAGATTAATTCATATATTTTTAATGGCTTAACCACAAGCGCCAACCAAAGGTTTATGAATTGCGCTTTAATCTGTCTGTAGTTGGAAATTAGGGTAACGAAACGGGTTACAACAATCACATTGTTTTACTTATGTTTATAATTTAAGTAAGCTACTATTACAGATTTTGTGACTCGACTTGCAATTTTTATTTTATTTATTATTGAAAACCGTAAAATTATCATACGTTTAATTTTATAACTTCCTATAATAAAATCTTAAAATATTAAATATTAAAATATTTCTACTTGGATAAAAAATCATATTTCTACAACCGTTGAAGTTAGCGACTTTTTTTTGACTACATTTGACTCGATATTTATGTATAGAAATTTTCAATAATTCACATAGCTCGCCGCAGGGTAACGTTTTTGATGCACGATTTTGAGGATTTAGGATTTTAGATTATATTCTATAACGGTTAATGTTACGAATCACCCACCCTCATAGTGGAATAAAATCGCTTCTCCGTTTGGAATTAAAATTCTTTATAAATTATATTATGCAAAATATGATAATTTTTATAAAAATGAGCAATTTTAAATGCCAACAAATCAATTTTCCTAAAATCTATCGCTGATACAAAAAACTAAATAATAATAATAATATTTTTATGGCATTTTTTTTTCAAACAGTTTCTTCTTCTTCAGTTTTTTTTTCACTAATAGGTAAATGTTTTGATACAGAGTGTCAAACATATCTAAATGTAAGCTACTAGTTTTTAAGCTTAACTTCAGGTTCATTCATGGTGCGTGAGGCGCAAGCTACTAACTTTAAAATATTTTTTTCACATTTTTGAAACATACAACACCCTATTCCATTTTTGGATGTATCACATTGTAATACTGCCTTACATTTTGGGTCAAATGGGACAAGAGCCGGCCGGCTCTTGTCCCACCGGTGTATTTCAAACAATACTCTTTAATTTTTTAAAACATTATTGGTGTTTCGGCAACCATTGCCATTCTACGATATTTTTTATTAATTGACACAAGGGGTGCATGTGCTCGGACATGTTTTGCACATATCGCCTTATATAAACTGCGCACCACTCAATGTGTCCCGACCAAAAATTTCGTCCTTTTTCAAAACGACATAACTTTTTTGTTTCTTGAACGATTTTATTTTGGTTTGTGATGTCTGCTAGCCCTATTCTCTGGCAATTCATGCTATAGATATGAAGCTCACGGTTCTTGAAGTAAATTAACTACAGGGTGATATGTTAAACAGTGAAATATTTCAATTCGAAAAATTTGAAAAACGTTTTAAGGTAAGAAATAATACTTCATTATTTCAAAGTAAAAACGAGAAAAAAATATTTTTTTTTACAAACAGGGCTTGGATGAAGTTATTGAAATTTTTCACCGTTTTACATATCACCCTGTAGGAAATTTACCTGAAGAACCGTGAGCTTCATATCTATAGCATGAATTTCCACAGAATGGGGCTAGCAGACATCACAAACCAAAATAAAATCGTTCAAGAAACAAAAAAGTTTTGTCGTTTTGAAAAAGGAGGGAATTTTTGCTCGCGACACATTGACTGGTGCGCAGTTTAGTTAAAAGATCCAATAATTCTCTGCAACTCTACTTTACTCTTTGGGCTTTCTAGTTCATATAATGCCTTAACTCTATCAGTTTCTACTTGCATACTCCTTTCTGAAAAAATTTGCCCCATAAATTTAATTCTACTTCTAAGAAATTTTAATTTTTCTTTGTTAAATTTTGCGTTTACCTTTTTTACTCGCTCTACGATTGCTCTAACAGCTCTATTGTAATCCCTCATATCTTTACCCGCGACGACCATGTCATCATGACAAATGACGACCTTTCTTTCTGGAAAATGTCTTGCGAGTTTAATAATCCATATGGAAGAACTTTGAATCTGTAAATACCAAAGGGTGTTGCGAAACAGCATTTCCACGATAAACGTTCGCTTATTTCTAATTGATGGTACCCTTCAGAAATGTCAAAAACAGTAAAGACTTTTTTATTTAGCAGTTTTGCACAAATTTCTTTCATGGTCTCACCAACTCTGGGCTTTCTAACAATTTGTTTATTTAGGTCGCAGGGATCTAAACATAACCTAATCTTTCCATTTGTTTTTTCTACTATTACCATTCTATTAATACTAGCGTAAGCGTCTATTACAACTTTGACTATCGCATTTTTTTTTATTAATCTATCTAGCTCAATTTTTACCGGGTCTCTAATGGCTATGGGTATTTTCGTGGGGTGGGGGGTGACATACTGGCTCAAAATGTTGACAAGTAGTGATTATACATTTGCTTGGAAATTCTTTTAATTAAATTTAGATGTAAACAAGTATGACCTCCCACTAGAACTTGATTTGCACCATCAACAATAACAAAATACTTATCTTATACTTAATGTTTAGATTTACAGTTCCAACAGGCTTAGATACGGTCCCCTCGAATTTAAGTATATAATTAATAGGCCTTACATCTGCACCCGTGTTTAACCATGTTTTAAATTTATTGCCTTCAATTTCTAAAATTTCTTCAAACATATTATATTTACACATATTTTTGTTACAATCATGAACACTACTCTACTCGTATAAAAATATCACTCATATCGGAGCTACAATCTAGTTCTTTTTCAATATTTTTAATATTTTTTTACCTTACACGCCACGGCCAAGTGATTTTCTGTTCCACATTTTTACATTTTCTACCATAGGCTGGGCATTCTCTGGGTCCATGGGTTCTCTGGCATCTCCTGCATCGGAATGTCTCACCTGGTCCGGTTTTTTCTTTCTTCACTTCTTTTCTTAGCTTGCTGCTTTCTCGGTACTTGTTTCTTCTTACTACATTACTCTTATAAATAGTTGATTTTGTAATTTACTTTGCTCGCTGGTTCTGCAAAGAGTTATGGCCTTTTCTAGAGTCAGTTTGTCTTTTCTCAGTAGTGCTTCCCTGGTTGTCGGATCCTTAATTCCCATTTACAATCTTGTCTCTTAATGCCTTATCTTCTGCAGTCTCGTTTGGGTCATTTGTATCTGCAGTCTGTTAGGAAGTGCTCGAAGGATTCACCTTCTTTCTGGATCCTTTTAAAGAAATTTTACCTCTCAAAACATTCATTCAAACGTGGGTTGTGGCTTCGCTGTGCACAACAGCAACAAGGTAATCTTCGAACGATACTTTCCAAAATGTCCATTCGTTTGCAGCATTCTGCCCTTGAAGATCAAAATCCGGAGGTAGTTTTACGTGTCCAGCATTGGCCATGGTCGTATATTTCGACTTTCCGTTTCTTTTAGTAACAAACTTTCTTTTTTTTTCTTTTAGGTTATGTTACACCACGCCGGTTTTCACAGCCAGGATCTTTATTTACAGTACATACTTTTCAACAACAGTTTAATTCGACTGCGCCATGTTTAGTGTGTTGTTGATTAAAACTCCATATACACTTATACATTTAATCAGGTACAATTTATATTTTATATGCGTGTACATTTATGAAATCACACAGGTCGAACATGGAGAGTGACATATGGCAGTGTTGCCATACATATCTTACATATAAAATTTATTCTACAGATTATCTTAAACAATTTCAATATTATCTATTGTATTATTCATCTCAAGAGATGGCACCACGCGTGTAGTACACAGTTAAGTCGATCCGTGTAATATATTAAGTAAAATAAACTCAGTTATTTGTTAAAAAGTACCAAAAAGTGTAGTTTATATCCAGTGTTATATAGTGAATCATGGCAAACACAAGGCAAAAGTCTGAAAAAATGGATATGGCAACTCTAATAAAAGAAACTATTCAGGGTTTGTTAATTGATGATGCATTTATAACGTCATTAGCGACGAAGGTCAACAGCAAGCTTGAACAAAAAATGAATGAAATGAAAGAGGCGATAAAACATATGGAGCAAAAAAACCTTATATTGGAATTAAAAATAAACAAAATTCAACAAAATGAGAAAAATAAAAATATTTGTATTTTTGGCATAAAGGAAACAACGAATGAAAACACCACAACAGTAGTGAATAATTTAATAACAGAAAACCTAAACTTAACTCTAAATGAAAACGCAATTCTTAACACTTTTCGTACTGGCAAGAAAAACAACAAAAACGCTAGGCCAATCATTGTACAATTCTCTACTGTAACAATAAAACAAAACATCCTGAAAAACAAGAAATTACTCAAGGGTAAGAAGGCCTTTATTATGGAAGATTTGACAAAATTTAACCAGGAAATTCTAAAAGAGGCCCAGGAAAAACTAGGAGGAAAAAATGTTTGGTCACAAAATGGTTGCATTTTTACTGTTTTTGAAGAAAAACTTGTAAGGATAGACAATCTAGAGAAAATCTCAAAAATAATGGAAAGTGGTAAAGAAGTAGAAAATAATGCTTGAAATTATAAACTTTACCTTTTAACGGGTTTATATATAAGTACAAATGTGAATGTTTACGCGGAACTTGACTTGAAATGTCATCTAATTTAAATATATTATTTCTCTGTAGCATTTTCTTTTTTATTGTATATTTTAATACTTTTGCTAGTTTTAGATCTTTTGTTAACTACTTTAATTTGTAGCAATCTTGATTCTTGAGCTTATCTTATGGATAATGAGATTGAAGAAATCAAAACTCTGACATTTGATGACTTGTGCGAGGGTGCGAAGATAATCAGTAGTGACAGATACCTAAATGTTTTAAGTCTCAATATAAGAAGTATATGTAAAAAATTTTAATGACCTTCTTGTAAACTTACAAATCCTTAATTTTGAAAACATAGATATTATAATATTATCAGAAACTTTTAATGTAGACAAGGTAAGTGATTTTAGCATTCCAGGCTTTTCAGAGTTTTATAATAATTCAAAGTTTAACAGAAATGACGGATGTATAATATTTGTCAGAAGCTCTTTAAACGCCAAAGTTAAAGAGATAAAAATAGAACAGTCAGTTTTGCTACGCTTAACTTGTGAAATAAAAAATATTACCTTTGGGATCACTGGATCTTACCGTCCGCCTTCAATAAATTTACAAAAATATATTGACAACATAAAAAAATTCTTTAATACTTTACAAAAAATGAATATTGAAATCTTCGCTGGCGACATTAATATTAACCTCCTTGATTTGAATAATAACGAGGCAAATGACTACGCTGCTTTCCTAAGCTCCCTTGGTATGTTTTCATACATTAACGAACCCACTAGAGTTGTTTGCAGACAAAACCATACTGAAAAAACTATTATTGATCACATTTTTGTCGGAAATTTTTATAACAATACAAATAAAATTAATTTTTTGCCAGCAGTCTTCCAGTCAAACCTTACAGACCATTATTTTACGTTTTTAGCTATTTCGTCTCCAAACATCCACAAAACAGAAATTAAATCCCCACTTACAGTTACTAAAATTAATCATTACATACTTAAAAATAAAATGGAAAAAATAAATTCAATAACTAAATCGTTGCATTTTCATATTTTGCCAAAGGATCCGATTCGGTACGTAAATTTGTTATTGCAGAATTAGCCAATGGTGACTTTATCTAATATAATTTATATTTAAGTTTGGACATTTTTAAGAAACCTAGCAAAAAAATAATAGTTGCATTTCAAAATATATCTACGAATTCATGGCAACATAATGTTATATATAATACATAATATAATATATGTTTTTGTGTTTTACCGTTGAGAAGAGACTTTCTTAATTAACGCTTTTAATAATGCATAACGCTTTTCAAAAATTAAGACGACTTATTTGTTTTATTATTTTTACTGAACTAAATGTTTACAGTTTTTACGTAAATCATGACTAAATATGTATTTATTGTATCTATTGTATCTAATATCCAATTTGAATACTGTATGCAATTTATTTTTTTATTCGGGATTCCACTGTTCACTCGAAAAACAACATAACAAATCGTTCAACGTTTTGTTCCCTCGATATTTTTAACGTTTTTCGGCCTTATTTTCAAATTATTAAAAGTTGTACATTGTATTTTTTAACAATATGTAAGTTTCTCAACGTGAATCGTATTTCAATCAAAAGAAATTATAAAAAATTACTTCTCTTCGAAAAATTAAAAATAAATATTGAACAAACTGCTATATTTATTATGTTTATAATTATATAAAAGCCTCTACAGTGTTATTTATAAATATGCCAATCATTTTGTATTTTACCCATGTAAACTATTATTATTTGTTACTTACCAGCTTTAACAAGCTTAAATGTTACAGCGTTGTGTGCTTTCAGAGATTCATTAAAGCTAGGATGTATTAAGTCCTTAAAGGTTGAACCATTCGTTGCCATTGTTATAAATAGTCTTTTATTTTGAGCTAGATCTCCAAGTTTCCTTCGTTGAACACTTGCCGTTTCCTTCCTTGGTGACAGCTTTGCTACGAAATATTCTAAGTAATTATTAAATTAACAACAGTAAAATAACATCGCACAGTTTACAAATTAGTAAAGACAATGTGACAATTAAATGGTTGGATTTCATAAATTTATAAAAAATTTAATACTCCAATTATATAATAAATTATTTATAAAATTTAAAATCCGATAAATATTTATTGGAAATGTTGGTTGATAAAGGAATTTATTATTTAACAATGTTAAAATTAAAATACATTTTGTTATTTTTTAAATTTGGTTAAATTTTTAACTTTATAAGAAACATGTTCTCTTAATACAAATTTAAGCCCTTAGTTGCGCAAAACTTTTATATTTTTAAGAAATATTTCGTGATAAAGTAAAAATTTATATAAAACTACAATACTGAAACATATAGTTTTGGGTATTTGGTCATGTTTTTATAAAGAATATTTGGCGCTGCTTTTGAAATTATATGGTAAATACCAGCATAAAATCGGCCACCAGAAATTGGCAACAATTTTAATGTTGATTTTTTGCGAACCGCTTTTGTGGTGAAACTGATTAGGGTGGGTCATTTTTATATAGAAAAAGTATATTAGGGGCTTTCAAATTCTAATAGTAATTTAAATGTGCCATTATTATTCTAAATCTAGTTTAGTTGATTGGATTACTCTTTAGTATAGAGCTGTTTTTTATTCTACTTTGAAATAAGATAATAATGTGAAAAATCTAAATTACCATATTAGGTATGCAAGAAATATGCACTATAATAAAAGAAAATACATTTATTTTATTTATTTCATTAATTAAAAAATCTTGCCTACTTTCAAACTTCGGCATATTTTTTTCTGAAATTTATTTTTGAGTTGATGTAACCTTCTCTTGATTTTTTGCTACACAAAAGCATCGAAGCTTTCGTCAAAGTATTAACTGAACGCTCGACAACAAAAACTTTAAGAAAGTAACAGTATAGTATCTCCTTTTAATTGAATTCCCGGAAATCAGATTCGACGCAGCGCGTTGCCAGTTGGCAAGAGAGGGAATGAACGCGATGCACTGCATGGAGACCGTTCAATGACAAAATTCTTTAAATTAAACTCGCGATAACTCCTTAACTAAAAGTGCGATTTTTATGGCCACAAGAATTAAAAACGACGCCAAAATTACCCATTGCCCATTCTAATTACTGTTTTATATTGTACTAAAATAAATGTTTTTGTTTTTGATTGTTTATAAAAGTTTAATTTGCGATAAAGAAAAATAAATATTATACACTGCAGTGCATAATTTAAATTATCACGTTTGTCGATATCACCCTTATTTAAATCAAAATTATTTTCTTAGAGAGAAGAATAAATTTCCCGAACAACGAATAAAATTGTCCCTGCCAAAGTCTTTTTCCCCCTGTCTCCTGCTGTCCTTTAGAGTGTTATACAAAAATTGAAATATCTTATCAGCAAAAATTACATAATTTTTATTGGAATCTTTCTGATTACAAATCACTAAATGTTTTTCTTCAGAGTATCATAAGAAACCAGTCCAGTTCAACTTATAACTTTGGACTAGGAAGAAGAATTCTGCGGTGGGAATATCGTTTTCCACGCCAATTCGGAGCGAATGATGAATTGGTCACTTATCAACATTTGTTGTGTAAAGTTTTATGTATTACGAGGTCAAAATTTATCACTTTGCAAAACAAAATAAAAGACAATGAAACTTTAGATGACAAAGGAGCAAAGGACCCCCATTTCACAAAATTATCCGACGATTTAAAAAAATGATTCAGGAACAATGTGAAAGTTTGACTCATGCGGAATCACATTACTCTCAGGAAGTCTTAATTAAATTATTTCGATGATTTCAGCTTGAATTTGCAAATTTTATATAAAAAATTCAAGAAACATTACGAACTATTATTAATTAATCAATATCTGAGTATTCTGTCCAAATTTCATAAAAATCCCACCTTTAGTTAAGGAGTTATTGCGAGTTTAATTTAAAGAATTTTGTTGAAATTGAACGGTCTCCATGCAGTGCATCGCGTTCATTCCCACTCTTGCCTACTTGCCACGCGCTGCGTCGATTTTGCTTTCCGGGAATTCAATTATACTAGTTGAAGCAACAGTCACGTTGCGAAAAAGTAGTGAGTCAAAATATTCTTGCTGCCAGAATTTAGCGTCAAGGTTAATTTTGGGGCACTTCAAAAAAACGCGGGAAAGTTCCTTGTTGGAGTGACTTTCGAGCCCTCAATATTCTTCTAGCGGCAATTTCCCGAATATGTTTTTTATTATCTCTTAAATAAGAGGAGATTTTTGGTGTGCAAAATAACTGTTTCTTTTCAGAACAGGATCTACGACCGATTTAAGATTAGGCGAAACATATCTTGAATTAAATATCAATTTCCAAAAATTCCTTGAACCGTCATTGCATGACGGATGGGTTTTTATCTTAAACCAAATAGGGCCGTAGACTTTAGTTACGAATATAGCCAAATTTTTTAGAATTTCATATGGGTCGCTGGCAGAAATATTCTGTTTGCCTTCGTAAGCTATCTGCACATCTGCGACAACTTACCTGGAGATATTTGCCAAATCAATTGGACACTCGTCATTTATGACTGCTCTCATAATATCATAAGGGTATTGTTGATCGCTACTTAGGTCTTTTTTAGTTATTTAAGGTAATTTGCTTTTTATCTTCTCATAGTTTACAACTCGAAGTTTTTTATAGTCCCCTAGTGACTTACCAAGGATGCCTGTAAATGTTGTTGGACCGGCTGTTAAACATCAAGGTGTACAAAAAGGTATCTTAGAGGCAAATCGTTTATGAGAAGAAGGCAGACGATCCATTGTAAAAATTTCCTTGGTGAGGTGACTTTCGAGCCCTATAGCGGCAATTTCTTGAATAAGTTTTTTATTATCTGTTAGCATTGATAAGAGGAGATTTTCCGGGTGTGCAAAATAACTGTTTCTTTTTAGAACAGGATCTACGACTGCTTTAAGATTAGGCGAAACATATCTTAAATTAAAGATCAATTTCCAAAAATTCCTTTATCCGTCATTGCGTAAAGGAGCGTAGACTTTAGTTACGAATAGTGTTGCAACGGTTACAGTTACGGTTACGGTTAATTCACGGTTTTCGATATTATATATAAATAAATGCCGTATACGGTTACGTTTAACCGTATACGGTTAAACGTAACCGTATACGGCATTTACGGTTTTTCATGCTACTTTGTGAATGCATATAAAAAGAAGATTGAAGAGTATTTAACGTTACCAAATATACCACATACGTCAAATCCGTTTACATTCTGGAAAACGTGTAACAGGTTTCGGCGTGTTGGCACTAGGGTATTTATCATACAAACCATTGTCAGTGAATTCGGAGAGGTTGTTTTCGACTGCAGGTCTTGTGCAAACATCAAATAGAAACAGGCTGATTCCGCAGAATTTGCAGATGTTATGTTTTTTAAATAAAAATTTGACTCGTAAATTTTGAATATTAACTTTTAATATTTTTATTTTTTAAATATATTATTCAGGTACCTACTTAGGTTTTACTTTACTGTTTTTAGGTTTAAAATGTTACTCATTTCCTTTTGTTTTATAGTTTTATTAGAAATTATGTTTTTGTTTTACATAAATTACACTATGATAGTTTTCCAAACTTTTTTTTCCTAACATTAAGTACTCCAGCTTAGTTTAACTAATTTTGGGCCGCTGATTTCAAAAATGTAATTAATTATGTAACAATTATTTGACATTTTTTGTCATTTATTTTAATTATTAAATTGAAAGGGCAACAAAGTAAACAAGTTTGAGTATTTTTCATACAAATTAAGCCCTCAAAATTTAATGCATTGCATAATTTTGCTTTTTTCTACCTTAAATTTTTTAAATCGTATCAAATATCGAATTGGATTATAGTATTATTGTGCTTAATCCTCATCATCGTCGTACATCTTTTGCTGCAAAATCCAGCAAATGTCTCCTGGCAATGAATCCAACTTCTTTCCGCTATACCCATAGATATCTACCAATGCTCTAGATTTGCAGTTACTTGGTGAAATCGTTCTACATGTTCATCAGTTCGGCAAATTTATCAGGAAGAAAATAAGAAAATGTATTTTAAATGACGCTAATTCTTTGCAAAACGGAAAGCATTTTTTCAATGAATTGGCGCAAATTTTAGGCCCGATGTGAACCAAGAACCTTTTCAATGACATCGTTAACACTGCGACACTGCGACAAGCTCGTCAACTTTGAGAGCATTTTTGAATGCTTGATCTTTCATTAATCGCCGTATATCAGGTCCATTTAATATTCCTGCAAAATTAAAGTAGTAGGTATATCTCATAAAATTTTGTAATGAAATATTGCGTTGGTTTTTCTTGGCTGTAAAAGCGCATCAAAAACAAAACAAATTTACAACGACGACATAAATGTTCGTCTCCTTTCTCTTTCTCTGCTACTTCCATTACCACTTCCATTTCCTTCTCTTTTTTCATTTTTGGTTCTTAAAATCACTTTCAAGTAAAAATACAATTTAAAGTTTAAATTTTAAATGTCAATAATTAAAAGATGCACTTTAGTGTGCTTGAACGATAAAGTAGCTAAAGGCGCCTTTATACTTTAATTCGATATTAAATTTTGATAAGACTTAATAAATAAGATTCGAGATTAAATTTTTGGGTACTTTAGGCATGATATGGATAAAAACATATCAAATAATAGTCGAAGAGTAATGTTTATACCGAAACCCATTTACTTTGTGGCCTTTTCAATTTAATTAGTAATTAAAAAAATGACACAAAAATTTCAAAAAATGATACTTTTTACCAAAAAAACATTATAATTTTAGTTTTGGTATTTAATAAAGCACTTCTCTGCAGAAAAGGGCTTTATTAAATATCCCTTATATAATACTACTATAGTATACGGCTACAATGGAATTTCTATTTGACATTTATCTACCGATGACTTTGTATGGAGTCCCTGTATATTTTTGACAAAAAACGTCAAAAATATACTGAACATCCAAAATAGATTTAAGGCAAAATAATTTAATAAATACTCAAAATATTAACAAAAAAGTTACATTTTGAGATAATTGGGCAGAGCATTTTATTACGCAATTATTTCGAATTCTAGACGTCCTAAAGCAAAACGAGTGGCATTTTTGAAATCAGCAGCCCAAAATTAGGTAATATAGGTGGGCGTACTCAATGTTAGTAAATCGAACTATCATAGTGTTATTATTTAACCTTTACTGAATGTGTGTATAAATTTCATTTTGAACAATAAACTTTATTTTTCGTAATTCTGTAATTTTTTTTTGAATAACCATGAATTTATTCGTAACCGTAGAGCTAACCTTAACCGTAACCGTAAAACCCGAAACCGTTGCATCACTAGTTACGAATATAGCCAATTTTTTTTAGATTTTCAGATGGGTCGCTGGCAGAAATATAAACCCTTTTAAGGATTCAAAATATTCTGTTGGCCTTCGTAAGCCTGGAGATCAATTGAACACTCGCGCTATTTATGACTGATGTCGTAATTTCATAAAGGTATTGTTGATCGTCACTTAGGTATTTTTCAGTATCTCCGGTAATTTGCTTTCTATATTCTCATAGTTTACAACTGGCATTTTTTTACATTCCTCTAATGACTTACCAAGGATGCCTGTAAATGTTCTTGGATCGGCTGTTGCACCATCAAGGTGTGCAAAAAGGTGTCTTAGAGGCAAATCGTTTATGAAAAGAAGGCATACGATCCATTCTAAATGTCTTTTAATGCTCTTCTGAAAAAGTTTTATTACACCACCATATTTTCCAGTATTGGTTACTGTTCCATCACAGCCAACCGCAAGTAGCCTTTTCATAGAAAAAATGATTTTTGAATATTTATCGCTGTGCTCTGGGCTGGAACGACATATCCAAGTTAACTTTCCTATATTTCTTTGCACTTCTGGTCACGATCGTGGAAGTTTTAACCTTTCTACCATCAAAATATACGCCTATTTTATTTCCAGGTGAAAGTTAAAAAAGTTTGTGTAAAACATAACACTATTTTAATCCCAAAATATATACAGCTACGGAACACGGTTAGTGTTACTACTCTTGTAGAGTAACCCATTTTACACAGTTAATGCGACTTCATATACTATTTGATCGAATATTACTACTTTCAATCAAATAGTATATGAAGTCGCACTAACTGTGTAAAATGGGTTACACTACACAACAAGAGTATACCGCTAGAGTTAAAACAAGACTAAAATTTGAACTCTAATAAAGTGGACCTGCTCAAGCTATAACTAGTGTTCTCTAGTAAAGCCTAGTGTGAAGCTTATTTTTACTGTGTAGACGTACTTTAGATTTATCACTCACCTCTATATCTGACTTAATATTGTAAAGAATAGCTGAGGCAATTATTAGATATGGGACCCACACCAAATTTATATGAATTTATAATGACATTAAATAAACAAGTTCTGCGCAAGCAGAATTTAAATTGAAGTTTGCGAAAAAAAGATAACTTTTTGCTCGGCTGTACCGGCCCCATGGCGCCCCCAATAAATATAATATAAATTTAATTGGTGCAATTTATTATTTACCATAGTTTATCCACAAATTTCAAATTTTATTTAAAAAATCCAAATCATACAGTTTTTATATAATTTTAAATTTTTATTATTTCTTTGAAAAGAATTATTAAAAATTTAAAATCTGTATATTTTGGATTTTTTAAATGAAATTTAAAATTTATCGATAAACTATGGTAAATAATAATTTGCACCAATTAAATTTATATTATACAGGGTGTCCGGGAAAAGGAGGTCAATCCGTTAACCATATATTCTTTGAGTTAAAACAATAAGACTTTCATAATACCATTTTTCAATTTAGAGCTTCATGTTCGATATACAGGGCGACAAAGTTTGAAATTTAAAACTGTTTTTTTTTTAATAATTCGAGTAATTGATAAGATATTAAGTTCAAATTCGGTACACTACTTTAACATATATAGTTACATTTTTTGAGACCAACAAAACAAAAAACAAATGTCAAATAATCAAAATAGGGGGGGTCCAGTACTCACTGACTCCCCCTATTTGTAGTACGTGAGCCAATGACTTCCAAACGGTATTTTTTCAGGTAATCATTTATTTAAAAAAAAAAATTGTCTCCTATAAAATTTTGTTAAAATGATTTGTTTTAGAGATAATTTGTAAAGTATGGGTCAGTCCATATCAAATCAACCAAAGGTTCTTCCCCCACCATCTCCGATTTTGATAATTTTTGGTAAATTTGTTTACCTCACTAAAAAACTCAAAAATCCCATATATGAATTTTTTTAGTTGGGTGGTTTTTGTTTTATTGATTTTTGAAAATTAAAAAATTCCGATAAATTTGGGTTTTGCAAGTACTTACAAAAATAGCGATATCTCGTAAACTATTAAAAGTAGAAAGGTGAGTGATGGCTTATTTTAAAGGCCTATTAGAGACCTTTTTTATGATATACTACATGACCTAAATTTTTTCAAAAAAAAAAAATTAAATTTCAAAAATTTGATATGGATTGACCCATACATTACAAATTATCTCTAAAACAAATCATTTTATCAAAATTTTATAAGAGACAAAAAATTTTCAACAATAAATGATTACCTGAAAAAATACCGTTTGGAAGTCATTGGCGCACGTACTAAAAAATAGGGGGAGTCAGTGAGTACTGGACCCCCCTATTTTGAATATTTGACAATTGTTCTTTGTTTTGTTGGTCTCAAAAAATGTAATGTAATGTAATGTAATGTATTTATGTTGAAGTAGTGTACCGAATTTAAACTTAATATCTTATCAATTACTTGAATTATTAAAAAAATCAGTTTTAAATTTCAAACTTTGTCGCCCTGTATACCGAACATGAAGCTCTAAATTGAAAAATGGTATTGTGAAAGTCTTGGGGCCGGTGCGGCCAAGCAAAAAATCTTTTTTTCGCAAACTTTAAATTATGTCATAAAATGTCATTATAAACTCATATAAATTTGGTGTAGGTCCCATATCTAATAATTGAGATATCAGTATACCGAAAATTCACCAGCCGCCACTGATCCCTAGCGTGCCTAAAGAAATGCTTTGCCGCGCTTCAATTTTTAATTCGCAGATTCAAGTTTTATTACGTTTTTTTGTTATTGCATAATCTATTCCACCTATAACCATTTTTCTCTCGATCCGTTGGTCTATTAATTAAAAAAGTTTGCTCTTCTTTTTGACACTTACACTGTTGATAATTCTTACATTTACAATAAGAAATATCAAATATTTTATTGAAACTTTGCATTTGGAGTGAAATGCTAGTTGAATAACTCTTGTGTGGGCAACGGTGGGAATGGAAGCAAGGTGGCTCTTTGCGGATGTCCATTTTAATCTTAAAATGGTATCTTGTAAATTCATTTCATTACGTGTTCGTAAGCTGGTAACACATTGTTTTCATATCTTTAATATCACCGAAAATAGGGCACTTACTAGCGCTAGCTATAGCTTTTTGTGCTTTCTCCATTATGTTGTGGACACTTGAAACACTTTAAAAATATATATGAAACTTAATCGGCATAAGCATAACCTACGCGATCTTACCGGAAAGAAACTAGCACAGTGAGTCAGCTATGTAAATATAATAAAGATGGGCGAACACAAGTTTTTTGTAAAAAAAGCATATATTCATTACAAAATAAGTTTAAGCCATGTAATTTATTTAGTTTTTAAGCGTTTTTTTTTAATTCGAGTGGTATTTTTCTAAATTTCAAAATTAAAGTGCGGGCTCTTCATTTTAAAAGAAATATAAAATATTTTTATTGCTATTAGGCATTGTTTTTTTGACCCACTCTAGTAATGGTGCTATGGTAGACATTTTTATTTAATTTGTATTTTAGCATATAAAGGGTGCATGGTAAGAAGATTATTTTTTCCTGAAATTTGTGATACCCTGTGCACAGTGTATAACTCATGGGTTCAGCAATAAGAGCGGATGTCAATTGAAATCATATTGTAGGATCTTTTCTGAACACTTTGTTTTTTTTATTTTTGTTATTATCCCTGTTATTAACAAAGATACACTGTTTTAAAGGCAAGTCTTTGTATATATTTTTCGTATGATTTCCTCGAGAATCGCTCATCTTATTTCGATGATTTTTTTTTAACTGTGGACTCTTTAATAATTGTATAGCATATATTTTTATTCAGATTTAAATTAGATTTGTATATACAGGGTGCAAAAGTAAGAACATTTTTTGCAGAATTTTGTGGCACCCTGTTGGATGCATCAGCAACACCAGCGCATGTCAATTAAAATTTTTCCATATGTATCTATTTTGTTTTTTTATTTGTATTATTATCTATGTTATTATCGAAGATGTACTGTTTTAAAGCAATAACAGATATTATTAAATAGTAAAAGTTATCAAAGGTTATTAAATAAAAAAATACCTTGATTTGTGATAGAT